TTACTTTGAATGAAGGCGCTAATAATATAAGCTTCCTTGATTTGTCATCCAAGACATGTAGATGTCCTTGCCGATCTGTTCTAGTTAATGTGGCCCCTAACAAGTATCCTTCAAAAGCAGAAGACTGTTTGGAATAGGAAATTTTTCTTATTTTCTTGAGTCAATTGAGAGATAGATATAGCACTATGCTTGATCCAGGGAACCAGAAAGATATTATTTAGAAAGACAGGACCAATGGAGGAATTTACAGAATCATTTCATATGTGAGTGATGGGAAGTGAGAAACCATCCCCGACTAATAGGGGACCACTGCCAGAATAAGGATAAGAGATAAGAATTTATCAGGATCACCTGAAACATGGTTGGCTACTCTGCCATTAACAATCCATGCTTGATCATTTGGTGAAGTCAATGACATAGTCTCCATTGTTGCATCATCCCATCTTGCGTGGGTTACTTTTATAACATATTACACAGTGTAATATATTCTCATCAGTTATTTTAGAAAAAAAGACAATCTTCATTGGAGTATTAAGGGCAGCGACTTTGTGGCTATTGTTCGAGCTTTATCCCTGTTGATTATAGTAATAGTAGCAGTCCACTATGATGCGGTTTCGGTGACTACAAATCTGGCATGTCACATCCTTATGTCCAACCATACTATTTTGTTATAAATGATTAGGTGTAGGGAAAAGACCGTGTTATTAGTTAGTGGAATGAATGAGCTCCAACTCTTCCACGACCTCTAATGCCATGATATGTCCACGACCACCTCTTTCTCCATTATAAAATGGAGGGTTACTGATCGTGACTAACACAATGGATCATGGTTTTGAGCATCTTTAGGTGTAGGTTTATTTTGGAAGAGGGTCGTGTTCAGGTAGCAAGGGGCACATTTGTGAAAAAATTGGAAATGGGGGGCTTGGGGATATCGTAATTAACAAACATCCTATATGCATTGTCTTTTTTACTTGGTGGTTCTTGAATCATGTTCAGTTGATCATAAAGCCCCTTTTTGGTTGAAATATTCCATGACTGTCATTTTTCTTGCTTGCATTGTTGGACTGCAAGCCTCAAATGCATCACACATGACTCAAAAAGGAGACATGAAAAGCCTTCCATAAATTTGCAGCAGTTCGCATTCCCATAACCTGTGCTGGAGTTTCTTCGGAAAGAGGTGTGTTGATTCATCCAATGAGTTGCTGGTCATTAGCAACCCGTTTTCATAACAGGGGTTTGTGGAAACAATGCTCATTTTCCATCATCATCAATCTCTTCCTTTCTGATGAGTTTGGAAGGAGGTTAAGAATATCCATCTATGTCATGGATTATGAGTCCCTTCTAGATTGCGACATTGGATGAGGTCAACTTGGTGGAGACCATTTAGGGGAGCACATTTGGGAAGAAAATTGATGTGAGGAAGACATTATTGTGAAATGGAGAATGACGTTGGGTAGAGAAAAGAAGAGAAGAATGTGAAATTGACAAAGTAGCAATGAATGAAAAGATAAAGAGCTAAGGGAAATCATCAAGTTTCTGAAATTAGGGTTATTGTTAAGTTTCTGAAATCAGGTTATGTTTTTTAGGGGAAGGATGAGAGTAATTAAGGCTTTTGAGAAATTAGGGTTTTGATGAGCGCGAGATCCATAGTTGGAGATTAGGGTTGAAATTAGTTTTTTTTTTGGTGAAAACGGAGAGAGAAATTAAGTCATTTGAGAAATTGATGAAAAAGAAGCTTAGGTTGGGACTCCAAAATTTCAATGGGTAGAGAGGAGAGAGAGAGCACGGAGTGGGATAGGGCAATATTTTCTTTTTTTTGTACGGAGTGAAGAGAAAAGGAAGAAATGGAAAAGAATATCAGAAGAAAGAAAGAGTGACAATCAAGAATGAGATTCAGGTCACTATGAGAATCAAGAAAGAGAAATAAGGTATGGTTTCTATGAGAAAAAGAGTGGATAGCCAAGAATGAGATTGGGGTTTATATGAGAATTGAGATAGAGGAATAAGATATAGTGAGATTACGGAAGGTAAGATAGGATTTTACCTTGTTATGGGTTTGTGTAGAATATCCAGCAACCTGCTCTGATAAAATGTGAGTTTGATATTCCACAATAGGAAAGAGATATTGTAAAGACATCAAAAGCTAGAGAGAGTGGCTTAAATTCCCAAATCAGTCCGTATGCAGCAACATCTTCATTATATAAGTAAATATTACATGGTTGGATGTTTGGGTTTGTACAAATATGTTTTTTTTTTTAAGTTGTTAACTGTTGTATAGATCATAGTTGTTGGAAACGCTTGGGAAACCGAATTGTTTTAAGAACTGGAATCACGGAATCGCAGCCAGCTAGAAGATTCTTGTCTTGGAATCGTTGTCCGTACAATAGGAATCACTAGGAACGAGATTCCTAGTTTTTGAGAATTGTGTTTCGATCGAAATAGATCCAAGTTTCATCTACATATGGAATCGAGATTTCTTCCTCATTAGAATCGGGATTCCCATCCGCCTGAAATCGACACTTCAGGAGTCAAGATTCATTAATATGCAATCAAGTTTTCGACATCTATGGGACAGAGATATGTTGTTGTTTCGAATCATGATTCTAACATATTTGGAATCAAGTTTTTGAAGTATATGGATCAAAGATCCATGTCAGTTTGAGATCGAGATTTACAATAATATGGAATGTGGAATGCGTTTAATGACCCCTACCAGGAATCGAGATTTCATTTTTATGAGAAGGAAGCCACAAGCACATCTTGAGCCTTATCAACTTTAGAACCTATATTGGATGTCTCTTATTAGAAGGTTTCTCGAATTTTAAAGTGATTGTGTTGACTATTGAACTTATGGTCATTATATACAAAAGACAAGTATTCCTAAATTGTGATTTGGACGTCATTATTATAAAGACAAAATACGATTATGTTTATGCCATGGTTTTACTTTTAATTGTATGTGTTGTATTTATGAATTATATTTTAAATTTAAAGTAAAGGCCATCCATGGTGGCACAAGTAAAATAATGAAACCCTGCAACCACTAGAAGCATTCGAAAGAAGATTTCTACTCCAATTGACATGGAATCAAGATTTAATCCACGCTAGAATCCAGATTCGATATATTTTGGGAACGTCTACCCACAATTAATGGGTTCAAGTTTTCAAAGATGTGTTGGATTGAGATTCCGAAATTAAGGAATCGAGTTTCCTTGATTCCGATAAATGGTTTCTAAAGATGTGTTGAATCGAGATTCCAAAATCAAGGAATTAAGTTTCCTTGGTTCCAAAAAATAGTTTCTAAAGATTTGTCGAAACAAGATTCCAAAATCAAGGAATCGAGTTTCCTTGGTTCCAAAAAATGGTTTCCATGGAGATTCCTTAACGAAAACGCGGAATCGGGTTTCAGAACCGAAAACGCGGGGTCAGTGGAGCTATGGTATAGATAAATAGGAGATGCAATGATCAATGAGAGGACCCACAGACCGGGCCTCTCAGCAAAAAATGGGTTAACCCAAAAGGGCCTTATACAAAAAGTGGGTGGGGCTTATAACATTTCCCATATCAGAGGATATTCAAAAACCAGAAGGTCTGGAGGGGTAAAACATAAACACAAGTAAGTTCCATAAAGCCCTGAATTGTTAAGGATCCATTGCGCTCGCACCAGCCCCTTCCTTAGCTAGACGGTCTGTTAGGTCGTTTGATTCCCTCCTATGCGTTCATAAGACAGCCGTATCCCTGCAAATGTGCATAATCTCGTCATAAATCGAAGCAAGATACCGGGGGGAGGAGATTTTCCAGACGCCCAGGTAATTATGTTTTTGGCATCTCCTTCAACCAACAGAGGTTGTCCCCACGCAGGGTCAAACAACTTGAGACTCGAAAGGAGGGCCATGGATTCGGCAAATTGGGAGTCAGCGTGTCTTGGAAAAAGAGGTCTTTCTCAAAAAACCAAATCTAGGAAAAAGAGGTCAAGATGTTGTCTTGATGATCTCTAAACAACCCACCCACCCCTGCTGGTCCAGGGTTACCAATAGAACACCCAGTTGTTTGCATGAGCAGGCCAGGGGGGTTTAAAGAGGATGATGTCTTTCCAATTTTGTAGCATTGGGTTTGTACACATGCAAATGCCCTTAAGATCCACATGTTTTACATTGTGAAATAACATAACGAAAAATGGCAGTAATGCCTGTTATACATGGTACATAGTCTAACAGATCATACCCTGAGAATTTCATGGGTGTTATGATTTGTTCCAATTTCATTTTTAACTCTCACATTAAATACCGATGATGTTCTATTCCTTGTTTATTTTCTTTTGGATAGGTCTGTATTTAAATAGATTCAGAAGATGACCTTCCATTCTATACATCCAATATTTGGTGGTTCTTGAAGTGGCAAATAAATGGCAATTTATTGTGCCCTCATAAATACTGTGAGAACAGATGTTTGTATAGAATGGCAATTGATTATGCCCTCAATTCCTACCAAGGTAGGGGCCCTCTCCCCACTGACTCACCAAAAAAAAAATATCTATCCAAATAGTCTATATTCAAATACTGTCTTTGATTTCCTTCTTATACGATGCTAAGAAGTGAGGCCCAAAAGAACGTGGTTGGAAGTAGTCCGAAAAGATAATAGAGCAAACTGGCAGACTAGGATTCGTGTAGCCGACCCCAATTAATTGGGAAAGGCTATAATGATAGTGATGATGACGATGCTAAGAAGTGGAATCATTTTTTTTAGTTTATTGCATGATTTTACCATTGATCATGAATCTTTCTGGGAATTGTGTAGAGAAAATGGCCCATTCATCTTATTCTGGTCATTAGATTGAGATTTTATGCAACTATGAGTTCCAGTTGGGAACGAAATTATTTCACTCGATGTTTTTGTATGTGTTTAGATACAATCTTTTATTTATGTACAATGCTGCTCTTTCTATCTTTCAAACAAAAGAAAATAATTATAATAATGATGTTGTTGTTTTCTTTTGATAGGTCGGAATGATGATGATGATGAGATCACTGTTGAACCTGCATTCAAGCATGGTGAACTTCCTCAAGATAATAAGCTTCCCCCCAAAGTTGACTCTGCGGTGGAAGTTCTTCATGAGAAAGTTACCAAGCAAATCATCAAGGAAGGTCATGGCCAGAAGCCGGCAAGATTATCGACATGTTTCTGTAAGGATAACTTTGATCACCACGTCTCACCACGTCTCATTAGTTCATAATTACATTCATTTGTTGCATATGGTGCCTGATTGTAGTTTCACCTTCTTTGAGCTTAAATCTTGATCTGATAACTTACATCACCTCATCTCATTAGTTCATAATTACATTCTTTTGTTTTGTAGTTCTCACCTTCTTTGAGCTTAAATCTTGCAAATTCATTGGCTTACACATGTTTGCAGTAATTTTTGTAAGTTTGCAAGTACATTGTAAGTTTATCAATAATTCTGGTTACATCACTTCCTATATTAATGGTAAATGCTCTTTCATTAGATAAGTTGTTATTAATAATTAAAAAACCTTGAATCAATATTGTATCATGTTTCATCTCTTCATAACTATAAGGCAGCTTCTTCTTTTTTTTAAGAATTCATCTTAGGGGTTGTAGAGATAGAGATAGTCGAGGATACAAAGTTTTGTATCAACTGTCGAATATCATCTGATGTCCGGGACATTGTCATATTTGCGTCATGAATAGTGCTGGATGGAGGGGTCTCTACTTTTAGTCCCTTGGAAGCATCATTAGCAGCTTGGCATGCCCTGTACAAAAGTCTTCGTGTATCGAATGCCCGGTTGCCTTGCCGAAAAGGATTTCGACATTTTGTGATAATATGCCCAGCTCGTTTACAATAAATACAACAAATTTTCTTCTTACACTGGGATGCTATATGACCATATTCTTTACACTCATAACATTGCAGCAAATAGGGATCCTTTTGTGATGGTGTTCCTCTATCCCGTTGAGCTACAAGTACAAACTCTATATCCTTCTTTCCTTCAATGGTAGCTTGCATCGTGATTCTTGTTTCCTCATGAAGTAATTAGCCGAGAATAGCATCCATATTTGCTATATTTTCGCAATTCAAAATATTGGCTGGAACAATCTTATAGTCTGGGCGCAACTTTATCAAAAACTGCGTCACCTTCCTGTCACCATTTATCTCCATTAAGCTCCGAATGCAACAAGCACTAGTGATAGCCTTCAAGTTTACATATTTATATTTTGTCCACAAGTTCATGAAACCAGTATAGTATTCTTGAATGTTTTTCTCCCTTGACTATAGGAAAACATATCATACTCTGATACCATGTTAAACTTCTGAATCTTCCCGAAAAATCATTGTGTATTGATTAATCATGCAAAATATACAGAGTCCCCTATACATATAGGGCTAATCAGTTATTGATAATAATGAACTAATCTAGTCTTATTAAGAAAGTGCTAATCAGTTATTGATAATAATGAACCAATCTAGGCTTATCAAGAGAGATATCTACATGAAATACTAGATAACTTAAAATTAAAAATTATTCTCAACTATCTATATCTCCTCGACTATCTCTATCTCTACAGGGGTATTTGTTTCTAAAGTTCTACCCTCATTATTTTTTTCTTCTCAAATTGCATCAAAGTTGTGAAGCTACATGGTCTATGATTTTCTTTTTAGTCCCAGAGTTATTGAAGCAACCTTTTCCAAAATCTTAAGAGGTTCTCTTTTTCTCATCATTCATCTCAGTCATTTCCACCCTCCCTATCACTTTTCCGTGCTACCGTATTGATTATAATTAAGATCAAGCAGTGATCTTATATTCGCATGGTCAATTTAGGCTTGTGTACTTTTGCTTTATAGAAGTTTTTAATTATCCAATATTTGTGCCTTGAAAACGGATGGACTTAAATATGCTCTATACTTATAATGAATAGAGACTCTTGTTGCCAAATGAAAATGCTTATGTTGGATTTTCTTTGGAAGGAAACAACTTGTGTTTTTCTTCGAATGCTCTAAGATAGATATATTTCTGGAGAGTTTTATGAAAATTCTTAGTCCTTTTTTGCAGTCACTAGGATTTATTTGTCAATTAAAGCAATTGATGGTTTTGCTGGCAGTGCATTACAGAGCATGGACAGAAAATATGCTGCACAAGTTTGAAGACACATGGCAAGAACAACAGCCTCTTGAACTGATTTTGGGAAAAGGTGCATCAAAATTTTTTCTCTCAAGCCCATCACTACAAGTGAATGATAATTTTTTATAACTTGCCTAGAATTGGTTCTCAATATACAATCTTTCCAATAATATACTTTGATTAATGCGACTTTTGTTGCATGGTGCTTTTATGGAATTGATTGCCTTAGTTCTTTGTAGATAAATAACGTTGTAGATTGTTTTGTTATAAGAACACATTTGAAATTCAAATCTATTTCAGAAGCTATTATATTTTGTTTCCTTTCATCACTGTATCATAGTCTTTAAAGATAGATTAGCTTTTGACAGCCTCTGTGACATTGTTTTTCTTGTTTGGCAGGAAATTTGCTTGGTCGTGCAGCGTTTTACATGTTTTAGCTGCTAAATTTCTGCCTAGATTTCTAGAGCAGCACCACAAAATATTTTGTTGTCGATCTTTATAGACTGGTAGCAACATCAGAAATTGTAATCAGAATTTCATCTCTTTAATCTTCTGCTATGTGTTATATTATTGCTGTTGAGCAATTCAACTAAAATTAAACCAGACGCCAAGCTACCAATCGAAGAAAAGATACCCAAGCTGGCAGTGGTTCCTGTCTGGCTTAGGCAGGGCACTTTGTCGTTTGCCTTGGTTTAAGTTACTTTCATAAAATAGATTTAACAATATTATATGTTAATATTAAATGTTTAAAATTAGAGATAATAAAGCATCGTTACCAGCTCAGTTGGTAGTTCGGTACACACTTGTAAGAAGCACAGTTCCTAATCCTATTTCTCCCTGCGGTAGCTTGATTAGATTTAGTAGTTTTCTGATCACAAGGAAAACTACAGATAGGCGATTGTTTCTTACTATCCAATTACTAGGATTCCTCTAGCAAGTTCCTATCCGGCTGCAGTGGTGTAGCTTCTTATTAGTCATAGGTTAATTGTATTTTGGTCATTTGGTTTTCTATTGGTGTTGCACTCCTTTAGGCGCTTCCTTTTACGGGCCATGCAACGGTTTCTCAACAAGAGGGAAATTGCCGCATAGAACCAACTGGTCCTTTACCAGGTGGTACTGAACTTTGATTGCTTCTGAATCCAAGTCAGTGATGTAGGCTAGGTGGTTATGGTGTTAAGGGTCACATCACAACATTTAAGGTTTGAAACAAATAGTTAACCTACCCAAGACAACGAATTGGAGCCTGGTACTATGAAATGCTAATATTCTTGAACTGATACGAAGCTAGAGCCAATTTATGGGTATATATGTTCGACTAATTGATTGATTTCTCTGTCACCCTTTGAGTTCATCCCCGGGTACCTTCTTGTTTGTTTTCACATTTCATCCGTATCTTTAGATGGATGTTCTTGCATATTTGGTGTTGCATGAAATTTAGCTCCCAATTATGTATGATTGAGAACCTTTGCAGTTTCAAATGCAAAAGGTGTTTAGTTGCTTACTTAGCATGTATGAAATAGAATTCAGTAAACCTACTGTCATTCAACAATTTAACCCTTAGTTTTTGTGGTTAAACGAACAATTGCAGACTTTTGGTTTTGTGAAGTATGATTTCATGTGCAATAACTTACTTTCTTCTACCTATACACAGAGAAAACCGAGATGACAGGATTGGGTATTGGTGTATCCAGCATGAGAGCTGGTGAACGGGCATTGTTACATGTGGGTTGGGAATTGGGGTATGGTAAAGAGGGAAACTTCTCATTCCCCAATGTCCCCCCTATGGCTGACCTGTTGTACGAAGTCGAGCTAATTGGTTTTGATCAATTCAAGGAGGTCAGTTTACCAAATGGTTCTTGGATATGACATGATTTTCGCTTAAATGTAGAGAAGTATACCCTAATCCATTTTGAACTATACTCCAAAGGGACATTCATTGCCCTTTCCTGATGACAGACGATGGAGATTCACCGTAGTGGGGCCTACTGGGACATCACCTAGGTATGGCTAATCTTCATCATCTATCATCAAGAATGGGCATTGTGTGCTTCTTTGGATTACCATAAACCAATCCATTGGATTATGGTCTACCCTTCCTTAAATATATCCCTTGCCCTTGTGTTGACTCACCACAATTAGATGAAAGAGCACGTATACTATGGTCCCGTGTGAGCAATCCACATACTCCCTCGAGAAGATCTACTTCGAAGGATTGTTTCAATCTGAAATTTTGAGAACCACCTAAGAATCACTAGATGATTATTTTCAAAAGAAAAACTTCGAATTTTGAGTTCTCCAACACTTAGATTTAACCATCCAAAAATGGATGGTCTCTGTTCAATCTTGAGGCATTAGTCTTTTTCAATTGCATGGAGAGGAGTTTGGGAAATTTTCTTTACTGAGATTAGTCTATGGGTTGAAGAAGTTATATCCCCAAAATGATCCTAAAATTAATCCTAGATTGGGTTTTACTTGAGGGAGTAAATCGACGGTATATCTTTTGGCTTGACTAAATCCCTTTGATGTCTACTAGGGGAAGGCTCGTAGTGATATGACAGTGGAGGAACGAATTGAAGCTGCAGATAGGCGAAGGATCGAGGGGAATGGCCATTTCAAGGAGGAAAGACTGGAGGAGGCTATGCAACAGTATGAAATGGTTACTAATTCTGATTTCTGATTTTGTTTTGATAATTGCCTATTGGTATGATAGTTTCTCTGTATAGATCTTCTCAAATACCTGTTTTTTTGTTTCAGGCCATAGCTTACATGGGAGATGACTTTATGTTCCAGTTATTTGGGAAATACAGAGACATGGCCTTGGCTGTGAAGAACCCATGCCATCTGAACATGGCAGCATGCTTGCTAAAGCTGGAGCACTATGAAGAGGCAATTGGGCAATGCAGCATTGTACGTGCATCTTAGCCAGCAACCCGATTTCCTTTCATCTATCTTTTTTGTGGACTCCATGTACTTTTTTTTTTTGAAATTGTCAACGGTGGAGTCCATGTACTTATTGTTGTTTGGTTTTCTTGGTAAAGTTAAAATGTCTATTGAAATCATTTTCTTTTTGCAAAAAATAAAATAAATTGTTAAGATTTTTCAAAAAATTTGTTATGTTAGTCACCATTGTTCAAACATTTGGCCAGGTCTTAACCGAGGATGAGAATAATGTTAAAGCATTATTCAGAAGAGGGAAAGCGAGAGCCGCTCTAGGACGAACAGACGATGCAAGAGAAGACTTTCAGAAAGCAAAGAAACTTGCACCAGAGGACAAGGCAGTGGCAAAGGAGTTGCGCTTGCTAGCTGAACAAGACAGGCAGGTGTATGAGAAGCAGAAGGAGATTTACAAGGGAATCTTTGGGCCCAGACCTGAACCCAAACCAAAGAGCAGGATCCATTGGATCGTGGTCATTTGGAACTGGCTGGTTTCTCTAGTTTATAGAATCTTCAAGTTTCGAAGGCCCAAAGCCGATTGAACCCACATTCAAAAAGCAACTTGGTTCCTCATGTTGCACATGTTCAAGGTCAGAACTTAAAGAGTTATTTACAT